GGTTATAAATGTGTTCATGGCATGGGGCCATCTGCTTCACTGTATTCACATCAACATCAATGTGCGTGGTTGGGTATGGAGCATACATAATTTGACGGAAAGGCAGCACAAAGCTACCAGTAGCATCCTGAGAACATTAAAGTTCACATTTGTTATTATCAGAACCATCAATTCTAAGTACTTGCTTTTAGTAATGATTGAAGGCAAAGACTATACGGTAGGACAATTGAGGAACAGTGGAGAACTTTCAAAGTGATTTTTCACAGTGCTCAGCAAAAGTATTTAACAGTGAAAAGGAAGGACTGTAGAAAAAGGGATAATCAGCCATGGATAACTAAATAAATAAAGGAGGGTATCAAATTGAAAGCAAATGCATACAAAGTGGCAAAGATTAGTCAGAAACTAGGGGATTGGAAAATCTTTAAAGGTCAACAGAAAGCTGTGAAAAAAAGCTATAAAGAAAAGTAAGATGGATTAGGAGAGTAAACTAGCTCAGAGTATAAAAACAGGTAACAAAGGTTTCTACCAACGTATAAAATGAGAACGTGTGGCTAAGGTAAACATTGGTCCTTTAAAGGATGAGAAGGGGGATTTAATATTGGGAAATGAGGAGACGGCCAAGGCGTTGAACAGATATTGTGTTGTCAGTCTTCACAATGGAAGACACAAATAACATGCCAAAAAGTAATGACAAGGAAGTTATGGTAGGTGATGTCCTGGAAACGATCATTATCACCAAAGAGGTAATGTTGGGCAAGCTAATGGAGCTAAAGGTAGACAGGTCTCCTGGCCCTGATGGAATGCATCCCAGTGTACTAAAAGAGATGGCGGGGGGTATAGCAAACGCACTCAAGGTAATTTACCAAAATTTGCTGGACTCTGGGTTGGTTCTCCAGATTGAAAAACAGCAAGTGTGATGTCAGTCTTTAAAAAAGGAGACAAAAGACAGGTAACTATAGGCCCACTAGCTTAACTTATGTAGTGAGGAAAATGCTTGAATCAATAATCAAGGAATAAATAGCAAAACACTGATAGAAATTGTCCCATCGGGCAGATGCAGAACGATTCATGAAAGGCAGGTCATGTTTACTGAATTACTGAAATGCTTTGAGGACATTACGAGCATGGTAGTTAACGGGGAACCAGAGGATGTGGTGTATCTCAATTTCCAGAACGCATTCGACAACGTGCTGCACAAAAGGCCGCTGCACAAGATAAAAAGTGCACGGCATTACAGGCAATAATTGGCATGGATTGAGGATTAGTTAACTAACAGGAAGCAAACAGTGGGGATAAATGGGTGTTTTTCCAGTTGGCGATTAGTGACTAGTGATGCGTCTCAGTGTTCAAACTGCAATTGTTTACAATTTACATAGATGATTTTGAGTTAGGGGCCAAGAGCAGTGTGTCAGAGTTCACAGATGACACTAAAATGAGTGGTAGAGCAAAGTGTGCAGAGGACACAAAGTCTGTGGAGGGATGTAGATAGGTTAACGGAGTGGGCAAGGGTCTGGCAGATGGAATACAATGTTGGTAAGTGTGAGGTCATCCATTTTGGTAGGAATATCAGTAAAATGGACTATTATTTAATGGTGAAAAATTGCAGCATGCTGCTGTCCAAAGGCTACCTTGCTGAATGTTTTTAAGACAAAAATAGATAGATTTTTGAACTAAGGGTATTAAGCGTTTGAATTAAGGGTATGGTCAGCAGGTGGATAAGTGGAGCTGAGTCCATGAAAAGATCAGCCATGATTTTACTGAATGGCAGAGCAAGCTCCACAGGCCAGATGGTCTACCCCTGCTCCTATTTCTTATCTTATCACTGTAATGGACCCTGTCATTTAAGCCAAGCTGTTAGCTCTTAATAGTTACAATCATGATCAGAGTAAGAAAATGCTGAGTGAGCCAACAGCCTCTTGAAGTAAAGTCCATCAATTTCTAGGCAGTAGGGCAATGACTACTGATCAGAACTCTGCCAAAATATTCAGAAGTCATTTGTTCATGCAGGAAGAAAAGTAGCAGAGCACATGTTATCTCAGTAATCTCAGGTGACATTAAAGGAAAAAAAAATTGAGCACAAATCAACACAACACATTAAACATCCTACTGGCCAGAGGAAGGAGATTAAAGAATGTAATGGAGAAAAAAGAAACTAAACATTGCAGGTGTGAAGAAAAAAATTTGATTATCACTACGAACATAATCTTACCTTTAAAAGGCCCTGAATAAAGAGACCCGAATCATATTTGAAAGAACCACCAGCATTAGCAAGTCGTGAGCATTTTCGTTCAGTTGGAGGCAAGAAAAGGCACAATGTTCGAACCATCTGTGAATACACAGAAATAGTTAACAGATCATACATCAGTTATAACCAGTCAAACAGCTAAATGGTGATACAGTTGTTTGCCCTGTTCACACAAAGGTCCCAGGCCACTGCATCAAAATGACCTTTCAAACACAATCTGTAGTTTTCAAAAAAAAAACCTTACAGTTAGTTTGTGGCTAAGTGTAAATAGTAATGAATAACTAACACCGGTCATGAAATGCTGAAAAAGTTAAATCCAGGACATGTTGTACAACAATTACTATATTCTGAAATAATAGTAATAATAATTTGTTATTTGATTTCTAAAAGGAGTTGGAGAGAGCATTTTGGGTGAAAGGATCGCAGGACGTGGGGGAAAAGCTGAACGATTGATTGAGTTGGATGATCAGCCACTATCATAGCGAATGGTGGAGCAGGCTCCAATGGCCTACTTCTCCTTTTCTCTTTGTTTCTATGTAATTGGATATACTATTTTGCACTCTTATCTCTATGCCAAAATTTGTTATTTTTCTCTTGTGCTGTAAAATTTCTACTTCTATAGTGTCAAACTCTGGCCAACAAAATAAAAGATGGCATTGAGGTGAAATTAAATATTTATTAGATGATAGATAAAAGTAATATTTTATATAATATGTACACACATTGACTGGAATGAATTATTATTCATAGGGTTACTGATATTAATAGTGTGATCTATCGCACAAAGAGCAAGATTACTACATGTTTTAAATAATAAAAGCATCAAAGAGCAAGTTAAGCCAAAAATCAGTCAACTTTTCTTTTTTATTCCCTTAAAAGTTAATAATCAGAATGACTGAAGGAAAAGTGAAATAATGCAAAAACACTTCCATGGTTAAAACAAATTATTTGATATACTAGATACTTTAGTATTGTTCATCAAAAAAAAAACTTGGACTAAATAATAGGATTGAGTATTTAAATGCTCTCTAGAACAACAGTTAGTATAAAGCTTCAAATATTTATTTCATCCTACAAACCACGTTATAACCCTTGTGTGCGCATTTGTGTCTGAAACTTTATTTTGATGCCCAGTGATATCAATCCCTAGCCAGAAACACCAATGGAGTGTAATATACAAGCGTGGATAAAAGACTGCCTAACCTACAGGGAACAGAGTTGGGATAAATGAGTGATTTTCAGGTGGGCAAACAGTAGCAGAGTAATGCTGGAATCAGTGCTGGGCTTCAACTATTTACAAATGATTCGGATGAGCGGACTGAACATATTGGAGCTAAATTTTCCGATTAAAGAAAGGCAAGTAGGAAAGAAAATTATAAAGAGGCTGTAAGAAGTCTGCAAAAGGACGTAGGCAGGTTAAGCAATTGGGCAAACAAAAGGGCAATGGAGTGCAAGATGCGAAAATGTCAAATTGTCCACTTTGGCAGGAATAATAGAAAAGCAGGATATCAATTAAATGAAAAGAGATGGCAAAATACTTCAGTACAAAGGAATCTGTCTAAGCTTGTACAAGAATCACAAAAGGTTAACATTCCAGCACAGCAAGTAATTAGGAAGGCAATGGTTTATGAGGAAGTCTTGTTACAGCCATACAAAGTATTTGTGAGATTGCACCTAGCATATTGTGTAGAGGTTTCTTCTCCTTACTTAAGTTTTTATAAACTTACGTTGGAAACAGAAATGCTTCACCAAGCTGCTTCATAAAAACAAGGGAAGTGTGAGCAGTTTGAGCTTGTATCCATTAGAGTTTAGAAGCATGACAGGTGATCTTACTGAAATATAAAAGATTTGGTTCAAACACGACAAGCTAAAACTGGCAGGACGGAGGGAATCTCAAACTAAGTGACACTTTAAAAATAAGGAGTCTCCCATATAAGATGGAGAGGAGGAATATATTTTCTCAGGAAGCTATTACTCTTTGGAATTCTTCTGCTCAACGAGCAGTAGGAGCTGGGTCACTAACTGTATTAGGCAGATTTTTCTTTGACAAATGAGTTAAGGGTTATGGAGGACAGCCATAATCTTGTTTAATGGTGGAATAGGCTCAATAGGCCAACCCAATATCCCGACTGCTCCTTCGAGTTTGTAGACAGTTTGCATGCATTCTGTGATAGAGCACCCTTAGAGTGAAAGACGTCTCCTAAGCAGTCTTTGCCCTCTTTCTGTGCCATTTTCTGTGGGGTATTTGATTGGCCCATGGAAGAGGAAAGACATGATATAGAATTGTCAAGATAATATGAAGTTAACCCATCATTGATCAAATTTCATTGGATGCTGACATCAAACCAACACAAGTGACGATTTTCTACTGTGTGACGGAGATATTTAAATTTAACACCAGGCATCTGGGAGATACTCTTCTATGATGATCAAGCATTCTGAGACTTGGCTTCCTCTCCAGAGTCACCCTCTTCTCTGCAGCTGACAACAGAGAGATCGCTGGAGGGCCACTCCCATTTACACAGTCAGAGACATACAGCACAGAAACAGATCCTTCAGTCCAACTCACCCATGCCGATGAAGTTTCCCACAGTAAACTAGTCCCATTTACTTGCATTTGGCCCATATCTCTGTAAACCTTTCCAATTGATGTACCTATACAAAACTGTACCTGCATCTAAACTTCCTCTGGCAATTCATTCCACGTACAAACCACTCTGTGAAAAAGTTGCCCCTCAGGTCCATTTTAAATCTTTCTCCTCTCACCTTAGAAATATACCCCCTAGTTTTGAACTCCTCTACCCTAGAGAAAAGATCTTTGCTTTTCACCTTATCTGTGGCCCTCATGATATTACAAACCTCTATAAAGGTCACCCCTCAACCTTCTATGCTCCAATGAAAAAAGTCCCATCCTACTTTTATAACTCAAACCGTTAAGTCCTGGCAATATCATAGTAAATCTTTTCTGAACCTTCAAGTTAAAAGAAGCAGACCATAACTCTACACTGTACTCCAGAAGTGGCCTCACCAACATCCTGTACAACCTCAACACAACTTCCCAACTCCTATACACAATGGCCTGTGCAATGAAGGCAGGTGTGCTAAATGCCTTCTTAACCACCCTGTCTACAAATGACACAACTTTAAAAGAATAATGTACCTGAACCCCTAGGTCTCTCTTCGACAAAACTACTCTGGACCCTACCATTAACTATAGAAGTCCTGCCCGTATTTATTTTACCCTTATTCAAATTAAACTCCATCTGCCACTCCTCAGCCCGTTGATCACAATCTCTTGGTTATCTTATACCTTCTATTTCTCTGCCTCTCCCTGGTGTTCTGAACTCTATTCTGCAAGGAGGAAGAGAAAAGACCCATCAGTGAGAATAATGGCATTTATTGAGTGGATGCACGGGAAGATTGTGAGAAAATAGACTGTAAGGGAAAAGCTTAGCATGTCATCATATTAGAATAAGGATGTGTGTTAGATTGCAGATCAGAAGTGGAAATGCCTAGACAGAGAGTAATGGGTGCACCTGCAAGCCAAGTTGGTGTCAGATTGACATGGGAAGATTTGGGAAGGCACTGCGACATGAATTCGAGTTAGACACACATCAGGATGTACTTGAATGTGTTGTGCAACTCACGTTTCCTGACTTGATCAGGTCACTAAAATCACAGCACTAAGCAGGAGAGGGACCACACACCTGTAGTTAATCTCTGCAATCTCCAGTAACATCTCAATCTTTGCAACATGTCCTTCCTCCCATTGGCAGAGAAAAGAATCTCCCTGCAGACCCTTAAGCAGTGGAAGATTGGCACTAAGAAAATATCAGGTATATCCTTAAGATGTTGAGGATCTACTGTAGTAATTTATTTCTCAGCTGAAACTGTGGACCTTCAAAACAGAAGTATACTATTCTTTTTGAATAACAACACTTACTTACAAAAGTCAATTTGGAACAAAAGAACAAAAACGTCATCACCTCAAGAGAACGTTGTTAAAAACAGGTTCTGGTTTGAATGGAAAGAAATACCTTGTTCACTTTTTCTGGATTGCTTCCTATGACAACAGAACACCCACATGTCTGCAAGTGAGAGCTAATGGCCCTGCAAAACAAACAAATGTTCCCATCATTAGAAGAGAACACATCTCCAATATGTACAGGATTTAATACTTAGCTTGATATCTAAAGTAGCTGATATGATTCAGAATTTCTCTCATAAGTCAGGTTCTGTAAGGCACAGACAAGTGCAATCCAACAGACCTTTGCTGGTATATACTAAAAGCAATTCAGGCACCTAAATTTCATCTTGAGCAGACCAACATTCTGGTTGTTGCATGACTAGCATCGTTGCTTTCCCCTGCCTCAGTGTGGCTTCCTCCTTTGTGTAATCAGCCATTTCTTCAGCAGGAAGCCAATCAACATCATTCATCCTTGTAGGTCTGAAGGAAGTAGCAGAAAACAGTAACATCTGGCATTGGCCGAAAATATACACAGTTTAACTACCCCCATAGTAACAAGCACACACCTGCAGGATTTGCAGCCAGTAGTGACAGACCACCCAGGGACCACATATGCAATAATTCCTTGGGCACAATGGAACTCAGTTATGGTGCTGATGCCTGTCGCTCTCTCAGAATGACTAGCCATGCTGGTTTATAAACTTCACTGGTTGTCACTCCTGAAGAGGGCATCAGTTCTTATACGACTGCAGTGCTAAGCCTTTGATTGTGAGGTGGTACATGTATTCTGGAGTGAACCCGAAGTGTAGAAATTCAGAACAATTATGATCTTGAGAGCTACTAACTTTGGTTGGCTCACCCACTCGAGGACACACAGAATTGTCACATTTTCCGAGGACAGATGAAGTAGTCAGAAATGCTAGCACCTGCAGGAAGGTTGCCGGCTACTAGTACACCCTTCCAGAAATGTTGCCCCTTTCCCTCTCAGGTCTTGTGCCCTGTTTGCTGTATGGCCTTCTGCCTCTTCCACAAGACCAAGCTGCACCTACAGGAACCAGGAGATTACTTTTGTTTTTCATCTTCTGGTCATCTTTCCCTCCTGAAAATTCTCCAGCAAAATGGAGAATTGGAGAATGGATGCTGTTCTGGCTGACTGTGCACTGAATGTATAACGGAAATACCTTTTTAGTGGTGTTGTGAAAACCCAAAGCTCCCAAGCCCCTCAGAAATCTCCAAGATGGCCCTGCCAGGAGGTCCAAGGGAGCAAAGGGAGGGACTGTCAAGACCAGCAGTGGAGGTGTCAGGTGAATTTGGGCCGTCATGGGATATTTTGGCAGGGGAGGGGGGGGGCTTGTGTTCAGTATCCTGGGATTAGTGGCATTGGATGTCCCAAGGTGGCGTACAAGGTCACCTGCATTTTGGTCAGTTGGTGGGGAAGGGGGTGGGGTGGGGGCAGGGGATTGTGTCTCAGAAAAGGATTAGTTAACACAAATGTTGGTTCTTCACAGTCAGAAACAGGGAAGGCTATAATGGGGAGCAAACAGATGGTAGACCAATTAAATACAGATTTTGGTTCTGTCTTTGTAAAAAAAAGGACACAAATAACATTCCAAAAACATTGAAGAACACAAGGTTCAGTGAAAAGGATGATCTGAAGAAAATCAGTATTAACAGGGAAATAGTGCTGGTGAAATTGATGAGATCAAAAAACAATAAATCCCCAGGGTCCAATAATCTACATTCCAGAGTACTTAAGAAAGTGGGCTTGAAATAATGGATGCATTGGTGATCATCTTTCAAGATTATAAAGACTGCAGACAGTTCTTACAGATTGGGGGATAGCTAGTGTAACTGCAACATTGATAAAAGGAGAAAAGAAAGAAAACAAGGAATTGTAGATTGGTTAGCATAGGTAGTGGGGAAAAATGCTGGAGTACATCATAAAAGATCTAATAGCACAGCACTTGGAAACCAGCAACAGGATAGGTCAGTCAGCATGGATTTATGAAAGGAAAATCTGCTTGACAAAATCTACTGGGATTTTTCCAATGAAATAATTAATCAGGTTGATAAGGGCATCCAGAGGATATTGGTTTACTTGGACTTTCAGAAGGCTTTCAACAAGATCCAACATAAGAGATTAGAGTGTAAAATTAAAATTTATTAGAATGGGGGTAATGTACTGACATGGATAGAGAACCGAAGATGGGTCACTGGACTGGAAATGTTAACTCATTTCTCTTCACAGATGCTGCCAGACCTGCTGAGGTTTTCTAGCATTTTCTGCTTTTGTTTTGGATAGAGAACTGGTTGGCAGACAAGAAACAAAAACAAAAAAGAGTAGGGATAATTTGGCTTTTTTGAGTGGCGAGCAGTCACCAGTGGAGCATCGCAGTGATCACTGCTTGCACCACAACTATTCACAATATATAGTAATGATTTAGATAAGGGAACAAAATGTGATATCGCCAAACTGGCGGATGACAAAGCTGGGTGGGAGGGTGAATTGTGAGAAAGATGCAGAGATGCTTCAGTCTGATTTGGACAAGTTGAGTGAATGAATAAATGCATGGCAGATGAAGTATACAATGTGGATAAATTGAGGTTACTCACTTTGATGGCAAAAACAGGCATGCATATTATCTGAATAGCGATAGATTGGTAAAGGAGGAGGTGCAACAAGAGCTGTGTGTTCTTGTATACCAGTTGCTGAAAGCAAGCATGCAGGTGCAACACATAGAGAAGAAAGCAAATGGTATGTTGGTCTTGACAGCAAGAAGATTCGAATACACGAGCAGGTATGTCTAACTGTAATTGTACAGAATCTGGTGAGATCACATCTGGGATTCTTTGTGGAGTTGGGTCTCCCTATCCGAGAGCAGATGTTCTGGCTGTATGGAGAAGTGCAACAAAGGTTTACAAGACAGATTCCTGTGATGACAGGATTGACTTTTGAAGAGAAATTTGTTTGATTAAATGCCCTGGAGTTTAGAAGAATGAAGGGAAACCTTCAAAATTCTAATAGGACTAGACTGGGTAAATGTAGGAAGGATGCTCCCAATGGCCAGAGAGTTCAGAACCAGGGATCACAGTTTAAGAATTTATCATTTATGACTGATATGATGAGAAATTACTTCACCTACAAAGTGGTGAGCCTTGTGGAATTATCTGCTCCAGAAAGTGGTCGAGGCCAAAACATTGAATGTTTTCAAGAAAAAAAAAAAGAGTTAGATATGGTTCTTAATGTTAAAGAGATCAAAGGCTTTAGGTCGGAGATGAAGAGAAATTTCTTCAGCCAAAGGGTGGTGAATGTGTAGAACTTATTGCTGCAGAAGGCTGTGGGGGCTAAGTTATTGAGTGCCTTTAAGACAGAGATAGGTAGTTTCTTGATTAGTAAGGGGATCAAGGGTAACGGGAGAAGGCAGGAGAATGGGGTTGAGAAACATATCAGCCATGATCAAACAGCAGAGCTGACTCAATGGGTTAAATGATCTAATTCTGCTCCTATGTCTTATGATCTTATAGGTATGGGGAGAAAATGGTAACAGAGTACTGAGTTGGATGGTCAGCCACGACTATATCAAATGGTAGCACAAGCTCAAAGGGTTGAATGACTAACTCTTGCTCATATTTTCTTTGTTTCTTGGTCTCCAGGTGTGGGGTGGAGTGTCAGGTCTGCAGTGAGGTTTTTTTTAGATCAGAGTCTGGGGTGTGTCTTACGAGAAATGGAGCCGGTGTACTTCTAAGTGTGGGAGTTGGGGTCAGTTTAATAGTTACTTCATATTTAATTGCCTAACTTTTCCTGACTAACTATGTACTTCACTGCAGTGGAACACTCCAAACTTAGCTTTAAATGGATATTTTCAGAGGGTTCCAACCATAGGGGGCTTCAATTTCCTGGGCAATTCACTCAGATTCTGCAACGTCAAGGATTCCTGAGGGTCCCACATGCGTAACTCCCATCTACACTGTAGATATGAAATCTGGGTCAGAGTTCTTTAACAAATAAGTACAGGTGTACTGCAATGCTAAAGGACAAATGGATCGAGATACAGATCACTGTCTGCAACTAAAACTGAGCTCTCATACTACATGCAACTTCCATCATTCAAAATGAACACTCACTTGTGCAGAAAATCTTCGCGGCAGCTGTCACCAATATCATCATCATTCAAAAGGGTATCCTTAATCTGAATCAAATTAAAATTTAATTTAATAATATACCCACATATTCTAAACCACATAGCAGTAGTATGACCACCATTCCAAACATCTAAATATAAAAAAATCAAGTGAGGGGCAAACAGGAAGAGATAACAGAGAATTCCAATTATAAAAATAAATCATTATTAACTCAGGTGGTTATTAGTCATATAGCAGCGCAACCAATCTACACTAATCCCACTTTCCAGCGGTTGGCCCATAACCTTGAATATCATGACATTAAGTGCTCTTCCATTAATTGAGAATTACAAAATGGAAATTGAGAAATATTTCGAATTTACTATTATTGTTATTATTTATTGTTAATTTTTATGTACTTTAAAGTGAAAATGCATGTGGGGATCATTAAAAAAACAAACTTATTGCCTTCTTACAGAAATTGAAAGGGAAACAAATAGGAGACAAAAGATGTAGATCTAATTGAGGGGAAATTTGAACGCTAAAAGTATTGAGCCCTACTAATCCCAAGTCAATTAATTTTATGTTTTAATACGGGCAAAGGTAACAAATACCTGCCACTTACCAGGAGGTTTGAATTCTTGATTATGAATGTGAAATAAGATTAGTGAAAATATGAAACACAGTAAAGGAAAAACAAAGATAGTTTGCTGTTTAGAATTAATCAAGTAGATTTCAAATAAAATGCAGATCAAATAGAAACAAACTGTTAATCTTAAATCTAAGCAATTAATTAGAGAAGTTAAATAGCTAAGAGAAAAATAGCTTTTAATTTTGAAAATATACATAAACTAATAGTTGCTAGAAAAGTTGAATGAAAACAAGAAACTGGAAGCAAACGACAAAATGCTTTTGGGTAGGCATAATAAAATTAAATTATGCTCTCATCGTTGGGCATGTAAGGAGTCTTAAAGATGGAATCTTTGAAAATTTGGAATGGAAATTGTAAGCTATTTGCACTGCAAAATGCTTTAGGATATTTTCTTACCATTATATGGAGTGGTGGGATATTCATCAGAGCTTACATGAAAGAAAATAGTGGTTAGTAACAAAATGCTTGTAGAAAATACTACATCCAAATAATCAATATAATATGAAATAAATACAAAATAATGAAATAAAGTAGTTTGGGGGTTATCTACAATATGTATTTTATGCTTATCAGTTATCTTGCAACCAAAATGCAATTACTCATCCACCACTCTAAAACAGCAAATGTACTGTAGCCAAATTCATATAGGTAACACCTCTGAAGGATGGTGAAGGAAAAGTATATATGCCTTGTGTTCAAATGTTGTAATATACATAACTAGGTGATACAAAAGGCATTTGATTTCATGAAATCTATTAATGAGAGAAAATTGATATTTGTCCTGGATGATTCTGTCAACACATATGGGAACATCAACATGCAATGCCACAGAATGGCAAGACAAGCCACAGATTTCACACTTACCCACAGCAGCAAGATTAAAGTAAGGTGCTGTGAGACCTCTCTCAAAGCACCAGAAAAGCTTTGTACCTGTTCACAAGTTTCAAGACAGACTAAGAATTTATAAAACTTCTTGCCCTCATTTTTTCCCACCTAATCTCCAACTCCAAAAATAATCTCAATTTTGTTTCTTTCTCCAGACTCTTCAGTGATCCCTAACTGTTGCTTTGAAAATTGTACATTGCACTGTAACATCTGCCTCGAGTGATAGCATTTTACATGAGTCATGAAGTTTTTGGCTTCAATGCCTACTCCAGACACTTGAGCATTTTGTTTGGGTTGTATGGTAGCAAATGCATCTTTCACACGTGAAGTCAAACCAAGAATCGGTTTAACCTTCAACCAATATCAGTAAAATTAATTGCCTGACACCATTACAACATTGATGGTGGCTGGGAAAACGTCAGTTTATATGCAGAGAGTAGGGAGGTGGGTGGCGTAGGGAGTAAACGATAGGATAGAGCCCAAAGAGAGAGAAAGACAGTTGGACAGACAAGGGAGTTGCTAACGAACGTCCAACTGTCTCTCTCTCTCTCTTCGGGCTCTATCCTATCGTTTACTCCCTACCCCACCCACCTCCCTATTTTCTGCATATAAACTGACGTTTTCCTAGCCACCTTCAGTTCTGAGGAAGGGTCACCGGACCCAAAACGTTAACTCTGTTTTCTCCTTCACAGATGCTGCCAGACCTGCTGAGCTTTTCCAGCAACTTTGTTTTTGTTCCTGATTTACAGCATCCGCAGTTCTTTTGGTTTTTACCATTGCAACATTGCTGTGCAGAGATGAGTTGTCCCAGTTACCATCATTATAACAATCACACCCTAAAAGTGGTTCCTTGGTTGTGAAGTCCATAGGATGTTCTGAAATTGTGAAAAGGACTATGTAAAAGCACATCAGAGAATACTACCAGAATCACTTCCAAGGACAGGTTAGAATCTCTTGCTGCCTGAAATATTGTTTCCTTACTGGAAACTTCTGGAGTACTAGTATATTGTTAAAAACTTCTAAACCTGTTTCTCTGTTACCTACTCCTCATTCAAACATCTTACCATTTTCATCCTTCAACTATTGCTGGGTTTATATGTGTTTTGGCTCAAATGAATCCCTATTCTCAATGATTTAAATGTTCACCTTAATTTGCATTCATTCCTCCAATTTCTCTGGTGGATGAAGTTGAACAAAAAAGGACTATCTGCCTCAACGTAAGAAGTCAGAAGCCCCAGCACCTGAAATGGACATCTAGTTATACAGATCACAATTATATGTGTACATCATGAAGGAAAACATTTGGACTCCTCAAAGAAGCCTGTAAGCATTCATTTATACATAATTGCTTCAGTTGCAGTGACAAGTTATTTCTACCTTGTATAATGCAATAACCAAGCAAGACAATGCATCATTATAATTATGTAAACTTAATTGATGCCATCAGTACTGCAGACAAAGAATAACCAAAAGGGATGCATCAATCTCAGTTAAACATTTGTAGGTGAAAAGTTGAGATTCCTAAAACCAGTAGGTAACTCAATTAATTTTTCATCTTTTAATTTCTCCTAGAGGCAGATTTTTTAAATAATGCAAACTCAAAATTTCACCAAGCATTGTCATTAAATGCTATTAGACAGTTAGAACATTTAAATGACCAGTTCCAATCACACTGATCACTATATGTCGAAAAATTCCATTTATCTATATTTTACAACTCCTACTAGTCTTATGTCAGAAAAGTCATCACTTCCTCTTTATTCTTTTAAATCATTCATAGGGGATTACTGGCAAAGCCCAGTCTTTATTGCCAATCCTTAACTGTTCTTGGGAAGGAAGTGATGAATCATTTTGAATGTAACTGACTGGCTTGCTAAACCATTTCAGAGGACAGATAGCAATTAACCACATTACAGTACGTCTAGAGTCACATGCAGCCCAGACCACACAAGGGCAGCAAACGTCTTCCCTTGAAGGATCAAACAAGATGGTATTTTACAACAATCCAGCTGTTTAATGGGGAAAAGTACTGATACTAGGGTTTTTATTCAAGTTTAATTACATTTAAACTCTGCATAGGCCATTGTGGGATTCATATTCACGACCCAAAACTGTGTTCCAGACCTCTGGATTACTAGTTCAGGACCAACTACTACATAACTTTCACCCTGTCCTTCATCCTTTGATTCACCTATAAGGTTGCAATATTTCCTAGATAGACCTATTTCAAAAAATTCTAAATAAATAAGAGAGAGGTTTGATTCAACAGTGAGTGAACAGTGCATACTAATACATGAAATGAAGTAACTGAAAAGCCAAGATATGGGCATCTTATTTTTCATTGCATCTGACATGTGACTTAAGATTCTGAAATGTGAAAACATTTTAACAAACGACATGTTTCAACACAAACTACATTCCATTCTCCTCGTGAGTTTCAAGCACAAACTTACTTGAACTTCTTCAAGAACGCCATGTGTTTTCATGGATGAAAATAATTCCATGACAGGTGTGATCTCTGTTGTTAGGAAAGATATAATGCTCTGTCCCTAAGAGGAAACAGTACATAAGTATATTAAGTATAACAACAGTGATTTACATGCTTGAATATAGCTTGTAAAAACATGATGCTCCAAGATCCACTTCTAGGTCCATTATAGAGGACATGGAGAATAGAAAATAAGGTAATGACGAGGTACGCTTATTTGAGAGCGATTGCTAACTGTAATGATAGCAAGTTGCAAATCACAAAATTGAAAGAGCTCTCCTGATTGGATAAGTTAATTGCACTAAGAATACCTAAGTAGCAGAGACTAGGACAGAGCCAGAATAAATTATTGGTCAATGCTGAATTAGTTTTTATCAGCCATTATAGCAGTAGAATGCTACAACTAGCGTCAGGTTACAAAAGGGGGAAATATGAAACATCGTATACACATGGGTGTTTAGATCTAGTTTGAATGTGATGCCAGTATCATTCTTCCTCTAAGGGGAGGAGATTCTCCAATTTTTGAAGGTTATTTTACATTGTTGGTTTTATTTAATTTCTAGGTTTCCCAAGAGATTGAATTAACTAGAAATGCACAATAAGAGGAAAGCATCTCTTAAAACGATTCGGAAATTATTTAAGTAGTGGGAGTACTTCGAGTGTCTCTCCTTGTCATTTCCTCCCCGCTTGTATAGAATTGCCAGTTTTAATTTTGGCTCATCCCAATGGTTCAAGTGAATTCATTGGAGGAGTAACATTAATTGTTAGATGCAGGCTTACTTCAATAATAAATTTATCAAATAGTTAGTGATTTTCCCCATCCAACCAGTGCAGTAAAACCATAGCAGTGATACTTATGGTAGGCCATTTAGGACTGAAATGAGGAGAAATTTCTTCATCCAGACAGTAATGAGCCTGTGGAATTCTGTGTCACGGAAAGCAGTTGAGGCCAAAACAATGAATATTTTCAAGAAGTTAGATATAGTTCTTAGGACTAAAATTGATCTGTGAGGGGAGAAAGTGGGATCAGGATACTGAGTTGGATGATCAGCCAATGATCATTCCAAATGGCAGAACAGGCTCCAAGGACCAAATGGCCTACTCTTGATTGAAAACACTTTATGACTTCCTGCCTAAAAGGAAATATTTCATGGTAATGGGGTTCCATAACATAGTATAGTGCAGTTCCTCAGCCACTTTACAGGGAATTTCCAGAGCATCAGGGAGCAGACAAAACAAATGCCCACAGAGAAACATGTGAATAGCAGCCAAGATGGGAAGCATTCAGAATCCCTATGACTTGTTAATTTGGTCCAAACAGAACCGCAAGCATAAATCTCATACGAGTGCACTGAGCAAATACATGCTAAAGGAAAATCAGTCAATCCAACCAGCACCAGCCATTTATATTATTATACGAGATACTGTTTGGCTCAAAATACCACCTATTTTTCCCCCTTTCCTCTCCTAGTGGAATTAGCCACCATTAGGATTTGATTTCATGAACACTGAGCATTTTTCATGTGACTATTCACACAGGAGCCTAAAGAACATAGCATGCTGTCCTATATGGGGGAGTTTGCAGTCGAAGTCTGATCTGTTATCTTCCTCCTTTCTTTCTCACAATTTGAAGAAATAACCAATATATTACAATTATCTTGCTCAACTGCCTGAATGCATGAGAAATATCCAAGTGTCATGAATTTGGTACTATTACAAGAACAGCACGTTTTTTTTAAAAAAAAAGACAAAAATGAAAATTCAAGTTACTACATAAGGGAATGAAGCCACAAGATTTCAAAATTTAAAACAGAAGAATATTTACTTTGCAAAAAACAAAAAAAAAATCTATCCTAATATCTAACACCTACAATTAATAAAACTATGAACAGATCCAGCAACTCAAAACTGGAATCTGTAGGTGCTGTGAATCAAAGCAAACATGGCTGATCTGCCAAACGCACACTCTCCCACAACATTCCTATAAAACTTTGACTCCCTTAATATCTTATAAGCAATAGATCCGTCTTGAAAGTATCAGCGCTGAGTATCCGCAGCTCTCTGTTTCAATCCTTTGACAGAAGAAATTTTTCTTCATTTTAGTTTTTAAAACCATCAACCCATTAATCCAAACTTTGATTCTACATTCCAGACTCCCAGTTGAGGAAATCACCTACCCAAACATCTAGTTGTCAGGCCTGTAAAAATCCAATACATTTCAGAGAAATCACCTAACATTTTTCCAAACCAACTGCTCAATCGTTCCTTGCAGGACAAAGAATAATTGAACTTTACAGTACATAAGGAGGTCATTTGACCCATCTCGTCTGTACTGGCTCTGGAAAGAGGTATCCAGCTAGTCCCATTCTCCAGTCCTATCTCCATTGTCCTCTACGTTCATCACTTTCAAATACATATCCAGCTCACTTTAAGCCTCCTATGGAATCCATCTCCACCACTCTCCCAGGCAGCACATTTCAAATCCTAACAACTATGTAAACAAGTTTCTCCTCATCTCACTCCTAGCTCTCTCGCTGACACAATCTTGAAATTATGATGTCTAGTTATTGACATAACAACTAATGGAAACAGAATCTTTACCCTATCAAAATTGTTAATAATTTTGAACACCTCAATAAGGTCACTTCTTAACCTTCTCTGTTCCAAAGGAAAATAAGCCTAAGTTCTCTAATTTTTCTTTATATCTGAAGTCTCTCATTCCTGGTATCAGTCTAGCAAGTCTCCTTTGAACTCTCTCCAGGGATTAACATCCTTCTTTAAATAAGGTGTCAAAAACTGAACATAATACTCCCGATATGGTCTGACCAATGATTTGTAGAAGAATAGCCTCACTTCCTTGCATATATATTCTATGCCTCTATTTATAAACCAAAGCATGCTATAAGCCTTCTTAACAACTGTAACTACTTTCCAGGCCACCTTCAGAGAATCATGCACATAAACCCCAAGGAACCCTCTGCTCAACGCACAATGACACTCAGATGCTTCTGAACCCCAGCATTCCTTAGTCCCTTACCATTTAAAAACATTAAATTTTTTAGTTTTCCTGCCTTACATTTCACTATATTGAATTTGCTATGTTCTTGCCCAGTTGCTTATCCTGTAATGTTCTTTTGGGAAGGAAATCTGCCATCCTTATCTAATTTGGCACACATTTAACACCAACAGAAGAGTAGGTCTCTTGATCCTGTTCTGCCATTCAATAGAATCAACACTCCTCATATCCCACTTTCTTGCCTTTCCCCACTATCCTTGATTCCCCTACTGATCAAGCATCTATCTTACTCTTAAACATACAAAGGGATTCTGTAGCCACAGCTCTCTGTGGCAATGGATTCCAAAGACTGTCAATCCTCCTCAACTCAGTCTTAAATTAGCGTTTCTTAAGAAGGGTCTAGGCCCGAAACGTCAGCTTTCCTGCTCCTCTGATGGTGCTTGGCCTGCTGTGTTCATCCAGCTCTACACCTTGTTATCTCACATCCTACTATCTCTTAAATTAGCACCCCTTTGTTCTGACACCACGCCCTCTGGTCCTAGACCTTCTCTGCATTTACTCAGTCAAGCCCCTTAAGAATCCTATATATTTCAATGAGATCACATCTGATTCTTCTAAATTAGAATGAGTAGAGTTTATTTTTACTCTTAAGACAATCCCTCCATACCAAGGATTATCCTGGTGAACCTTCTTTCAACTTTTTCCAATGAAATAATACCTGTTCTTAATTAAGGGGACCAAAATTGATCTCAGTACTGCAGATGTGGTCTCACCAGCACCTTGCAGTAAGACTTGCAACTCTTATACTTCAACCCCCTTGAAATAAGGGGCAACATTTCATTAGCCTTCTTGATTACCTGCTGTAGTGCACAAGTACCCCCCACACCCCCATCCCTTTGTGTTGCAACTTTGCTTCATTTAATACTCCCTTTGTTCTCCCTTCCAAACTTCACATTTTCCCACATTATATCCCATTTGCCAACTTCTGGCCCATTTACTTAACCTATCAATATTTTTCTCTAAACTGTTTATATTCCTCTCTTAACCTACCTTTCAACCTTTTTGGGTTACCTGCAAATTTGGCTAGAGTGCATTCTCTTTCTTTCTAGAAGTCATTAATATGAACTGCAAACAGTTGTGGTGCCAATACTGATGCCTGTAGAACCCCAGTGACTACAGGCTGCCAGCCTCAAAAGAACCCCGTATTTCTACTCAATGTTTCCTGCCCATTAGCCAACTCGTTATTCATGTCAATATACCACCTCCAAAACTATGTGCTCTTATTTTGTGACAACCTTTTGTGGGTACCTTGTCAAACATCTTTTGGAAGTCCAAATGCAATACTCTGGTTGAGACTTTCTTGAAAAACTCTAATAAATTTGTCAGACACCATTTCCCTTTTATGAAGCCATGCTGACTTTGCTTGATTAGATTTTCTAAATGTTCTGCTATTACTTCCTTAATAATTGATTCCAATCCTTTTTCAACAATAAATGCTAGGCTAATCGCACTACAGATACCTGCTTTATGCCTCAAATATTGGCAGCTTATTTTACCAGAATCCAGCTATTTTTTGAACAATTACAGCCAATGCATCCACTATCTCTACAGGTACCTCTTTTAGGATCCGAGGATGCAAGCCATCGGGGCCAGGGGACTTATCTGCCTATAGCCCTACTGGTTTGTCTAATATTACTTTTCTATTGATGGGTAGTGGTACTTAATTCCACCTCCATATTATTTAGTATTAAAGGGTTGTTCGAGATATCTTCCACCGTAAAAACCAATGCCTCCTCTGCCATTTTCTTGCTCCCTATAATCATCTACCCCTAGATATATTTTCTAAACAGGCCTATGTTCAGTCTGACCTCACTCTTCCTTTTTATGTAAAGAAGCTGTTTTTGTCTGTTTTTATATTCCTCACCAGTCTACCCTCAGTTTATTTTCTCTATTATCTTTGCAGTTCTCCTTCGCTGGATTCGGAATTTATCTGCGTCACCAGGACTATCACTGACTTTTGCCTCCTGATATGCATTTTCTTTCAGTTTAATAAACACCTTAACTTCCTTGGTTAGCTATGGTTGGTTTAACTCTCTTAGAATCTTTCCTACTAACTGGGGTATATTTTTGCTGACAGTCATGCATTACTTCCTTAAATGTCTTTCCTACTATCCACCCAGTTTATTTTAACTAACTCTATCCTCATTTCATTATAATTCCACTTTTTTTAAAAGTTACAGTTGTTTCTGACCCAAGTTTCTCACTCTTAAGCTGAATATTAAATTCAATCATGTTACAACTACTACCTCCTAGGGGATCTTTTACTCTGAAGTCATTTACTCCCTTCTCATTAACCATTACCAGATTCAAGATAGCATGCTCCCTGGTTGGGTCCATGACATGTTGCTCTAGGAGACTAACTCTAATGCACCCTATCCTTTCTAATTTGATTAACCCAATCAACATGAAGATAATTATTATTGCTCCATTCTCTTTACATGTTCCTTTATTTGTTGATTTATATTCTTTGCTGCAGAGTGGCTATTATTTAAGAGTTTGTATGATACTCCTATCAATGTCTTCTCTCCCTTGCTTTTTTATTTCCACCCAATGAACTCTACATCATCTGGATCGTAGTTCACAACTGTCCTCCACATCACTCAGTCTCACCTGCCCTCAGTGATCAGAACAAAAGTGCTCAAAAATCTCAAAAGAATTAAACCAGACGAAACGCCCAGCACTGACCTTGGCAACGAAAATGACAATAGCAAATTCAATCCCCTCAACTCTGCAAAGTCCTCCTCAACATCTGCGGGCTCGTGCCAAAATTAGGAAAGCTCTTTCATGTACTATTCAAGCAACAGCTTGGCACTGTAAGGTCCTACGAATATGACTGTGTTCCAGACACATCACTACCACTGGATGTGTTCTGTCCCACCAGCAGGATAGACCTTGCAGAGATGGTGGCAAAGTAGTATATAGTTGGAAAGAAGCTGCACTGAGAGTCCTCAACATTGACTCCAGATCCAATGGAGTCTAATGGCATTGGGTCAAATGTGTACAAGGAAATCTCCTGATTAGCATGGACCACACCACACCACTACCAAACCCCAGATCCCAACATTCTGTACAGGACATATCAGTATGAGTGACCACTGCACAGTCTTTGTAGAGAAAATTTTACATTGAGGTTATACTCCATTGTGTTGCATGGGACTACCACCACGCTAAATAGGATAGATTTCAAATAGACTGAGTAAATAGCAGATCTAGACTGAGCATCCATAAGGTGCTGTCGGCCATTAGCACCAGGCGAATTGTAGCCCAACATAATTTACAGCCTCATGGCCTGGCATATCTGCCATTCTAGCATTTCTATCACTGAAGTCAGATCAAACTTGGTTCAATAAAGATTGCAGTAAAATGATACAAGGACTTATCAATAGTGCTATCAAATGGCACTTGCAAAGGTTATAAAGATTCATATTCCATCTTACTTCTGATCATTTGAAGGCATGGTCCTTTATAATAAACTAAAGGCTTAATATTAACCGTAACACTATGTGCCTGTGGGATGTGATGTTTGTGCATAACAGTTTGTGGAAATAAGCAACGGTTGGATTTTTCAATACCATAATATCCCTACGTAATTCCTTATGTTATTGGAGATAGCAGCAGACTCAAAAACTGCAACTGTTCATTTTGACTAATATATTCCTTTTATATCTTTCAAAAGGATTTCAGCTTTGATTCCTCATCTTCAGTTTGTTTTTAAGTTTTTTTAGAAACTATGAAATTTAAGTTTCCAATTGTGCATCAATATACACAACAGCCATGCCTTGTGTTGATACACTTTCAAGTTGTCCATCAGCTTTGCTCACCTTCTGCATTTTTTCTCCACAAAAAACGTTTTTTGATTTAAAAGCTTCATTGTTGATTTCAGTCTGTTAGAGGCTGAGGGTGTGGTCCTAAAATGATTGCATCGTTGTGTGAAATTGTTATGGTCAAAGATACGTGGAAAGATAGTCACTTATCTTGACTAACTAGTCATCGCAAAGAATGGGGAGCGATGTCTTACAGCAGGCAGCTGGGGTGTTGGGTCAACAAGACCGTTTCAGTGATACTCTATCGCAATATTCAGTTGCAGTGCACTTGAGGGTGACTGTGACTGAACGCGTAACTTTTCAGTTGCGTAGCACACAACAGCAATTATTAATGCCTAAAACATTGAAGTACCCCAGTTTGTGTTTGTTTTTTTGAGATTAGGTTGACCCTTCCTTTTGTCCCAGTTGTAAATTTTTCAATGGTTGCAGAAGATTAAAATTGTCAATTTCTGCTTTCAAGCAGCAGATGCTTATGTTTCCTTTTATTGCTTTCTGAGTTCAAAAACTAAGTAGAGATCCCTTATTCTCATCTAGATTGTATGAATTAGCAGGTTGGACCACAATCAAACCTGGAATCTTCAGGTCTGCATGATTCAATTGCCACATCAACACTAGATGATTTAAGCAGAGTGTCCACCTCTTAAGATGAACTGCTCTGAAGATACTGATGACTACGTGATCAGAGATCACTACCCTGCTGCTTCTGACTCTGCAAGAAAAATACTAGAAATAGACACAGAGCCCAGAACTGGCTATGTCACGCAAGCATTTTGGCAATTTATTTTATAAATAATTAAATGAAGGATATGTCATCCCCTTCTCCATAATTTTCAAGGTGTAGACTCACTAACATTTCTCAATCATCTTGCATATCAAGAAAAGTAGCTAATGTTTACAGATCCAAAGTAAGAAAATTGGAACACAAAGCATTTATTTACTCAAGACTCACCTTATACATCCATATTCTTCCTTTTCTAATAATGTGTGTTAGTCTGTCCACACACAATCTGTGCAGAGGTAGGTAGAAACTCAGTTCAGTTTGTGGCAATATCACTGACAGAGCATAAGTACTACGGTCACCATTCATATTGCCATCAAATATCAATGAGATGATGATTACCCCTTTCTCTGACAGTACAAAAAATTTGACATCAATAGCTCCACTTTTGGCACTCCGAAGAATCTCGCCATTTAAGGTGTGGTTTGCCAAAAATGTTATTTCTCCATCACTTAGCAGCAGCTGTTCGCTTTTTGGAGCCCAGATATGTCTCACTCTCGGACCAAGAATGTTGTCCCAGTATGCAAAAGTAGCAGCCAACAAAGGTGACCCACTGTCCAAGGGAATCTCTGTTTTTGCAACAGCTGGTGACTGAGGTGGACAGGCAGAAGACATATTTGCAACTTAAACACTTCTGTCAGAGACTGAAAACAGTACCTGGTAAAGAGAAAAATGCACAAAATGAATTTCACTGGATACATTTGCAATCTGTACCCTGCTCAATATAGACCGTCTCTCACTTCAACCTTTCCTAGCAACTCTGTAAGTCTGCTTGTTAATCTGTCTCTTTCACCCCAGTTTTCCCCTTTTCATTTTCTCCTCAGCTTCTATCAGTCTGTCCTGTTCTCTTTGTCCCACTCCTTGGCACACGTGCCCCTCCTTGTCTTTCTTCCTCCCTCCCTCTCCATTCCTTCACATTCTCTTCCAACTATTCTCACAATCCACCTTTTTCCATCAAACCTCCCTCCTCTGTCTCCATTTCCTTTCCCCTCACATCTCGCTCGCCCTTCAACCTCTCAGCTGCCGCACCCACTCCACTCTGCCTATCCCAATACTTCCTCTCCATGTTTGACTGTCCTGAACGCATCCTACTCCCCTTCCCCTCTAAATCTATTTCACCTCCTCCCTCCTGCTCTCTTCCCTCTCAACAACCTCCCCATCTCTGTCTAACTTACGCCATCCATCCATCCTCTCTCTTGCTCTCGCATCCCTCCTCCACCTACTTCTCAAACTCTCGTCCGTCCTCATTCTCCCTCCTACCTCCATCCGTCTTTCTTGTTCTCACCCTTTCCTCCCTCTCGGTAACTCTCCCTTCTTACATTCCCCACCTCATCGCTCCCAGACCTTCCTACCTGCCCGCACCGCCCTCCCTTCCACAACTTATCCTCCACCTACACCCCTTTCCTACCCAAAAAACCCCTCCTACATACTGTTCTCCTTCAAAATACCTCCTGCCTCCCGTCCCTGTCCCTCTCCTTCCCAACCCCTTCTCTCGCCCTCCCCCAAACATCCTCACTCTACACCCATTCTCTCACATCCCCACCCCTCTGTCCAACATCGCACCAATTCCGTACGCCACCCTTTCTAACACTCCCCATCCCTAACCTCAATTTTTCCCCGTCTCCACCGTCTTCTACATCTCTATTTTTATATTTTTCCGAGAGCTGAATGCATGTAAACACGGAACCGAACAGGACCATCGACGTCACTTCCGCCCCGTGAGGGCGGGGCCAAGTGTGTGGAAATGGGGCGGCAGTTTAACTGCCGCAGATTCGAATCGAGGGGTGGTTTAACGGCTTCACCAGGCGGACTCGGTACGGTACTCTTTATCTCTGTCACTCCCTCTTGTTCCAATTTTCACCTGATTCAAACTGAGTACGAAGTATTGGTTTTAATTTCAGAAAAGGTAGTGGTCATTCCACCAGGTCAAAAAAAAATGGAAAACTTAGGAACAAGTATCACACTCAACCTTACACAAACAACAAAGCGATAATGACCAAACAGCTTTGTCCATGTTGACGGACGGCTAAAAATTTGCCAAAATATCATCGACAACTTGCTTACCGTTCTTCAAAATAGTACCATAGAATCTTTATCATCGATGTGCGACAGCAGCCGTTTAAGATATCTAAGAAGCAGCACTTCTAACAGTGCACAGTACCCCTTGGTACTGGACTGGAGTGGTATCCTTGAATTTAGTTGTTGGATTCAAAGGAGTCATGGAGATGTATGGCACAGAAACAGACCCTTTGGTCCAACTTGCCCAGGCCGACCAGATAGGGACCATTAATCTAGTCCCATTTGCCAGCGTTTGGCCCATATCCCTCTTAAACCCTTCCTATCCAAATACCCATCCAAAGGTCTTTTAAATAGTGTAATTGTACCAGCCTCCACCGCTTTTTCAGGCAACTCATTCCATACATGCACCACGTAAGAATTGTATTACAATGGAAGAATTTACATTCATATAATGTTTCATAACTTTAGGTCTTCTCAAAGCACTTTGTAGCCAGAGAAGCCATACTGGACTCTAATCACTGTTGCAAAGCACGAAACACAGCAACCAATTTATCCACAGCAGATTCTCATAGACAGCAATCTTAAGAAGATGGCATGGACAGGAATATTTGGGGCAGACAATGTCATTGCCCAGCCCATGGCTGTGATACCCTAGTTGATGACAACAATCATGTGTTTGATCACAGATTCCAAAGTCAGGTTGAAGTCTAGCATTTAACAACAAACAGTTTTGTAGGGTGTAATCAACTGTTAAAATGGTGTTTCAGAGATAGTAGAAACTGCAGATATTGGAGAATCTGAGATAACAAGGTGTAATTTGGGCCTAGACCCTTCTTCAGAAAATTCATTCATCCAGCTCTACACCTTGTTATCTCTGTTAAAATGGTGCACTGCCCCCACTGTCACCATGTCATTGAAGTCCATCCTAGAATGACAGAGATGGCTTTTGGATGCATTTCAAGAATGGAAAAGATGCACGCGGAACATGGATTCAGAGCTAGATAAACAATGTCAACAGTGAACGTGCCACAAATAATAGATTATTGAGGTAGGGCTCTTATCGGTATAGTGTTAAGGTCCAGTTTAAAGTCCCACCTGAGCTGGAAATACGACACAACATGTCTGAACAGATTGATTTAATACACTTACAGATTATTGAGGTGGCTCAGCTAGTTCAGAACAGTAGTGGAGTGGATTAATTCAAGCCTGTTTTCACTGCTGAGTTTATGGACATGAATTTAATCTGTGATGGCTCGGAAAAGATGCAAAATTAAATACAGTAGACATATAATTCTTTCCAAGTGATTGGTGATGAACTGAACTATCACAATAAAATGTGCTATTCTAACCAACAGTTTATACTCTGAGTCATAGAGATATACAGAAACAGACCCTTCAGTCGAACCTGTCCATGCCGACCAGATATCCTAAATTAATCTAGTCCCATTTGCTGGCATTTGGCCCATATCCCTCTAAACCCTTCCTATTCATGTACCCATCCTATGCCTTTTAAATGTTGTTATTGTACCGGCATCCACCACTACTTCTGGCAGCTCATTCCATACACGCACCACCCTCTGCGTGAAAAAGTTGCCTCTTAGGTCCCTTTTAAATCTTTCCCCTCTCACCTTAAACCTATGCCCTCTAGTTTTGGACTACCCCACTTCACTGAAAAGACTTGTCTATTCATCCTATCCATGATTTTATAAGCCTCTATAAGGTCACCCCTCAGCCTCTGACGCTCCAAGGAAAATAGCCCCAGTCAACTTAGCCTGTCCCTATAACTCAAACCCTGGCAACGTCTTTGTAAATCTTTTCCAATCCCTTTGAAGTTTCACAACATTCTTCCGAGAGCAGCAGTACCAGAATTGCACACAGTATTCCAGTAGTGGCCTAACCAATGTCCTGTACAGCTGCAACATGAGCTCCCAACACCTATACTCAATGCACTGACCAATAAAGGCAAGCATACCAAACACCTTCTTCACTATCCTATCTACGTACGACTCCACTTTCAAGGAGCTATGAACCTGCACCGCAAGGTCTTTTTGTTCAGCAACACTCCCCTGGACCTTACCATTAAGTGTGTAAGTTCTGCCCTAATTTGCATTTCCAAAATACAGCACCTCACACTTATCTAAATTAAACTCTGTCACTCCTTGGCCATTGGTCAATTTGATCAAGATCCAAATGTATTCAGAGATAACCTTCTTCGCTGTCCACAACACCTCCAACTTTGGTGTCATCTGCAAATTTACTAACCATACCTCCTACATTCACATCCAAATCATTTATATAAATGACAAAAAGCAGTGGACCCAGCACTGATCCTTGTGGCATACCACTGGTCACAGGTTTCCAGTCTGAAAAGCAACCCTCCACCACCACCCTCTGTCTTCTAACTTCGAGCAGGTTCTGTATCCAAATATTTAGTTCTCCCTCTATTCCATGTGGTCGAACCTTGCTAACCAGTGTACTGTGAGGAATCTTACTGAAGTCCATTTTGATCATATCCACCACTCTGCCCTCATCAATCCTCTTCATTACTCCTTCAAAAAACTCAATCAAGTTAGTGAGACATGATTTCCCATGCACAAAATCATGTTGCCTATCCCTAATCAGTCCTTGCCTTTCCTAATACATGTAAATCCTGTCCCTCCAACAACTTGCCCACCACTGATCGCAGGCTCACTGGTTTGTAGTCCCCTAGATTTTCCTCACCACCTTTCTCAAATAGTGGCACTACGTTAACAAACCTCCAGTCTTCTGGCACCTCACCTGAGGCTATCGATGATACAAATATCTCAGCAAGGAGGCCAGCAATCATTTTCCTAGCTTCCCACAGAGTTCTATGGTGTTCCTGATCAGGTCCTGGGGATTCAATCACCTTTATACGTTTTAAGACATCCTTCACCACCTCCTCTGTAAATATAGACATTTTTCAAGATGTCACTATTTATTTCCCCATGTTCTCCATCTTTCATATCCTTCTCCATAGTAAACACTGATGCAAAATACTTGTTTAGTAACTTGCCCATCTCCTCCGGTTCCACACATAGGCGGCCTTGCTGATATTTAAGGGGCCCTATTCTCTCCATAGTTACCCTTTCGTCCTTAATGTATTTGTAGAATCCCGTTGGATTCTCCTTAACCCTATTTGCCAAAGCTATCTCATGTCCCCTTTTTGCCATCCTGATTCCCTCTTAAGTATACTCCTTACTGCCTTTATACTCTTCTAGGGATTCACTCGCTCTCTGTGCCTGACGTATGCTTCCTTTTTATTCTTGATCAAAATCTCAATTTCTGTAGTTATCCAGCATTCCCTACACCTACCAGCTTTGCCCTTCACCCTAATAGAAACATATAGTCTCTGGACTCTTGTTACCTTATTTTTGAATGCTTCCCATTTTCTAGCCGTTTCTTTACCTGCAACCATCCACCCCCAATCAACTTTTGAAAGTTCTTGCCTAATAGGACATAGAACTGATGCCAAAATTGGCTTTACTCCAATTTAGAACTTTAACTGAAGTTGCTGGAAAAGCTCAGCAGGTCTGGCAGCATCTGTGAAGAAAACATCAGAGTTAACGTTTCAGGTCCAGTGACCCTTCCTCAGAACCAATGATAGCTGTGAAAATGTCAGTTTATCTGCAGAAAATAGGGAGGGGGGCGGGGTAGGGAGTAAACGATAGGATAGAGCCTAAAGAGAGTGAAGAATGGTTGGACAAACAAAGGAATTGATAATGATCTGGCTAGCAGGATGAACAGTTGTTAGTCACTGTTGTTATTCACCCTCCTAGCCAGATTGTCATCAACTTCTTTGAATATCCAACTGTTCTTCTCTCTCTTTAGGGTCTACCCTATCGTTTACTCCGTCCCCCACCCCCCCCCTATTTTCTGCATATAAACTGACGTTTTCACAGCTATCATTGGTTCTGAGGAAGTGTCACCAGACCCAAAATGTTAACTCTGATTTTTTTGTTCACAGATGCTGCCAGACATGCTGAGCTTTTCCAGCAACTTCTGTTTTTGTTCCTGATTTACACCATAAGCAGTTCTTTCGGTTTTTATTTAGAACTTTAACTTTTAGATCCAGTCTACCCTCTTCCATCATTATTTTAAAACTAATAGAATTATGGTCACTGGCCCCAAAGTGCTCCCCCACTGACACCTCAGTCACCTGCCCTGCCTTATTTCCCAAGAGTAGGTCATGTTTTGCTTCTTCTCTAGTAGTTACATCCACATACTGAATTAGAGTATTTTCTTGTACACACTTAACAAATTCCTCTCCATCCAAGCCCTTAATACTATGTCAGTCCCAGTCTATGTTTGGAAAGTTAAAATCCCCTGTCATAACTACCCTATTATTCTTACAGATAATTGAGATCCTCTTACAAATTTCTTTCTCAATTTCTCACTGACCATTGGGGGTTGGGGGGATGGCTGTGGTACAATCTTTCTGATTTCTGAAGAAGGGTGCTGACCCGAAACGTCAACTTTCCTACTTCTCTGATGCTGCCTGGCCTGCTGTATTCCTCTAGCTCCACACTGTGTTATCTCTGACTCCAGCATCGGCAGTTCTTACTATCTCATGAAAAGATTTCCTCTGTAAGAAGGAATTTATAATTTTTAAATAATATATGTATTGCTTGACTGTCGACACCAGGTGGAACTACAGGGCAACACTACGGATATATTACACA